AAAATGATATGTTTATAGTGAGTTTTTACATTGTAATCTTGTTGTGCAAAGTTAAGTTTAATAACGAAATTTCTCTCTGTGTATGGGCTGGGCATGAATGGTTTGCAAACATGGGAATGGGAATGGAAGTGCACTAATCGGTGAGCGGGCGTATGGCAAAAGTTTTGAAATGATATGCACATGGTTAGATAATGCTTACGAACCACTCGTAAACTTAACTCTTGGCTACAGATGAGTATAATGGATATATCCATAAATTCTACTAAATTTTGGGCATTTGCAGCACTAAAACTAATAATTCTTTCGGCCCGTTTGCTGAAGGTCCAGTTTGTTCAGCAGATCGTCAAACTCGCTGAAAAGCTAGGGGGAGAAAAAGAGTTATCACATCAAAGCCCGCGGGAGATGGATGACTGGACTCACATGGGTTGTGCCATAGCTGTCCACATAGGTCTTGCTGCCCCTGGAGGTTTTCTTGAAAGCGGGCAGCACCGGACTGTGACCATGCAGGAGATTCACATTCTGATAAGACTGCGCCTTGGCCGATCCGGCCAATGGATTCGACTGACTCTTGCCCACCGTGGGCGCAAGTTCCAGAAAATTGGGCACTGAAAAGGCGGAAGTTAAGGTTGCTTAGCTGCTCGTGCTCGTGCTCTGCCCAATCTAAATCACTACTCACTCTTCTTGGGCTGCAACTTGACCTGATTGAGGAGGGGATTATGCAACTGGAGCTGCCTGTAGACGGGCAGGGCGTGCTTCGGGGGCACCAACACGTGCTGCCGACCCACCGCCTGGGGGTACAGGTAAGTCGTCTCCACCGTGGGCACCTGGCGGTAATGGTACCGACCCTCCCGCGGCGTATATCTTCCATCCGAACTCAGGGCGATGTGAAAGACGGTGCGCATGGGCTTGTTGTAGTACTGATATACCTAATGGGAAGATATCCAATTTATTGTATTTAATCTTTGCATGTATTTTAATTTAATCAAAAAGTTAAGGAAAGCTATCTTTTTTTTTAATTATGAATTAAAATAGCTTATTTTGATATCACTTTCTTAAAAAATTAATTAAATTAAATTACCTAAAATGAAAAAAAATCAAAACTAGTATAATTTCTTCTCTATTTTTTTATCAGTGCACTCCTTTTTTTTATAAGAAAATGATTACACATTAACAGTAAATAACACGTTTACTTTTATAGCATTTCAGCATAGTATGTAAGAACTATAACTATAAAGCGATACATTGCTTGTTTATATTACAATTTGAAATACTTTGCACTTTATTTGAGTTGAGTACAGCTATAAAATAAAAGCTATAAATTTCCGCTATAAGATGTTTTACAATCATGCGTTGACTTTAAGCTAAGTCTAATAAAAATAAATCAACCATTTTTACAATACATTTTTATTACTGTGCTACATTTGCAAATGTTGCTAAACTGTAGGTCTTAACTTGAAAAAGATCGCACGAAAAGGTTTTAATTGATAAAAAAGCATTACTAAATGATTAATGGATCTGTCCTTAATTAACTTACTTTGAACAACAAAATGAACGATTATGTTTTTTTATGCATCACAAAGGAATGAAGACTAAGACTACAACATAAACTACACAGAAAAAAGTTATAAGTATATTGTGTTTTATTTTTAATGTTTCATTTTCTTTTAATAATTGTTAATGTAAAACAACTTTTACCACGAAGACTATAATGGTTTTAGTCTCCTATAGAGCTATTAACCTTTCAGAATATTACATTTCAAGGATATTTTTCTGTATAGTCTAGTTCTTAGAGCTGGAGATGTAAGGATCATTATCCTAAGCCTTTTCCGAAAAGGACTCCCGCTGATATTTACCTGAGGATTCCGCTGCTCGGGCACTATACCATCTGGCACTGCGATGCCTTCCTTTTGCAGGCGATTCAAAAACAAGCGATCCGTCTCAAAGGCGGTGTCGGGGATTTTACCGCCCGCATGTGGCAATACTTGTTCCCGATAGATTTGGCGTTTCTTGAAATTGGTTTTTTGACAGAATAATTTATGATCGTATTATATTGTCTTATAGTTCGGGCCTACACACCTTGTGGTTGCGTTCCGCAAACTCAGAGTCTTGGGCAATTATGGACGAACTGAGGCAAAGATATAGCAGGGCGATCAGCAAGATCACATATGGGGAAGACATTTTCATGCAGGAATTCGAACAATTTCCTGATCTGAGCTCAGCTGAAAGGTCAAGTTGATCGACAGGCACTCGCGTATCTGTAGACTACGACTTCTGCAGACAAACGTTAAGAGCTCGGTACACAAATCCAGATGCGAGACATTCTTAGGCATTCGACAGGTAATTGCACAAGACGAGACGACAGATGAATGACGAGCAGAAAGAACGATCGCGACACGATCACGTGACGACGGTTGCCAAAGCTACCTGGTAAGTGGTTACTATACTATATACGATCTCCGATTTCGATTTCGGAACCTATACCTATTCCAATCCGATCTTGGAGCTACGTTGTGGTCGCGTCGACGGTGCCAAACATAATGAATGCAAATGCATAAAACCGATCTCCACTAGCGGGTGCCCTCTGCCTCTACCGACGTTTTCTGCCAACGCGCTCAGCTCATCATCATTATCATCGTGAAAAGCAGCAGAGCTGTTTTATTTTTAGCCTCTGAGCCCTGCTGTATGATTTACCATTGCTTTTACTTGGTTTTTGAAAAATACAAACTGCACTTAATATTTACCAACTATTCGCTATAGTTCGGGTTATTTGCGGTTTTTAACTGGAAGTGGCAGAAAAATCATTTTACCCAAATTGCCTCAATTAATCCCGTAGACCCCTTCCCAAAATCCAAATCCATAGTGGGATGATGGGTCGGCTACTTGACTTGAAAGTCTGCTGAGATCCCTGGGTTACCCGTTCATACATCTTTGTTATACATAATTACGCGATGGTTTCTTGGACATGCCAATTTTTTATGGTCGCACTACAACCTTTTTCTTGTCTCGAAAGTGAATGGCTGAATTGGACTGGTTCGTTTCGCCGAACCTTTTGTTTTTGCCCATTTTCAGTTGTTGTTGATTGCGCCCTCAAGTCAACACTTTTCATAAACGTTTCATATTTATTGATTGTTTTCGTTATTATTTTAAATATTTGTGTAATTTTATTCAGCCGCCACTTACCTCTGAATTGCTTATTGGTCTCGAGAGGTTTTTTTGATGTTTTCTTTTCAGAAAAGTGGGTTTTTGTAAATAATGCGGTTTACTGGCGATGGGGCCTTGAAGGTTTTGTGAAAGTGGATTGGCACTGGGTGAATGCTTGAAAGGCCTTTCTTGAAGGATAATTGGGTATATAATCCGTTGCTTACTTATTTACAATGCACGTGCCTTGAAAAGGATTCGAGACGGTAAGTAAAAGACTGTACGAGCACTCTTAAGCTTTACCACTAATCAAATTTAACACGCCATATTGATAAACAGAATAAAAATATCACAAAATTTTCCAAAACTCATCAATCAACTTTTTAACTTTTAAACTCAATACAAGGTGATGCCAAGAAATTAATAATGCTTTATGTTTCATCCATCGGGGAGTTTACTATCGCGAAATATATATGTTAAATCATGTTTAAAATTAATTTGAAAAAGTTTATAGCTGTATTCATAAGCAAGTAATAAAATACCATATTCCCACGCTTCCGCCTTTCATAAATTAAATATTCAAATGGCATATGCCATTGAATTCATATGATACAAGAGTGTAAAAACTAGACCTCACATAAATGATGAATGCAAAACCTGGAGAAAGTATTTCCGAAGCAAAGATATAGGATGGCGATAAGAACGCCTACGAATAGATGAATTGAAATGCCGAACACAAAAAAGCCCATAGTAATTGCGATTGCACAATCGCTACCAAAAAAGGTTTTACATTACAAATTACAATAGACAGAGCAGTCGAAACCAACCACAAAAAAAGAAATAAAAGCGAGTCAGCTTCTGCAGTTTAGTAGATTGTAAAAACCAGACCTTGGCTCAATCAAGATGCAACAACATACTTAGGTTTATAGCATCCCATCGTTGAGGAGAGACCCTACCAGAGATTAATTATATTAAATCATAACCATAGCCTTGGACCTCGGGCATTTTGAAAATTTTGGTCGAACCGTTTGGGGCGGTTTTTCAAACCAAACCGAATTGCGGTCGCTAATTGGCCAAGTTTCGAGCTTCCTGGAGGGGCTCGCTCGTCGAACCCATCACAAATGGTCCAAACTCGATGTCAAGGATAAGCTGTTGGCTCTTCTGCCCCAGTCATTCCCAGGCCTTTCCAATTTGCATCTTGTCACAAAAGATGACAGGCCAATACCACGACCACGATCTGACATCTCGTCTCGATCTCTGTGGCCAACATCTTTGGCTTGGAGGTTACCTAATTGGCCAAAAGTTGAGTTCAATTGCCCGTAATGTTTGAACTTGCCCCCTTGCCTATCAAATATTATGGCTTTTGTGTGGGATCGAACAAGCAATTCAGTGAATTTAACATCAACACAAATCGAATTTGCTTCGCGTCTGTCCATTGTGCACTTGTTACCAATTAACAAATGACTATTCACTTCATTGGTAATTGAAGTTGCTCGGGACGGGTTTTTGGCCATTGAGGGGATGGTTATTCCAAAATGATCATAGCAGCAAGTGCCACGCGTTGAACCCTCAGGCCAAAAATGACAGAGAAGTTCAGGGTCACATAAATTATAAAGTAAGGTAGCATATAAAAATATAAAAACACTTTCCTTTGGCTTACACTCTCATATTTTACTTTTTGTGTATATTTATATCTTTGTTTGGTTTACATTTTAAACATTTTTCAAAAAAGTAAACATTCATATCAATCTTTGTTCTTCTGAATATGTAATATGGACAACTCTAAATACTTTTCTGGGCAGATATACTTAGAACTCGTTGCGTTCATATCAATATACATATGTACAGTAGATTTCATTTTGTTTTTTACAAATAAATCTGCTTCGTTGTCTGCACGGGATCTTAAATGCAAAATAAAATGTTTTAACATGTGTGTTTATCTTGTTTTATTTACTTTATAGTTTCGCTAAGTATTTTCTTTATATAGCTATAATTAAAATACAAAAATATGTATGCAACAAAAAAATATGTTTACATATAATGAATATCGGGGCAATTCAATGTAACTTATTACTCGGCTAGATTTCGTATAAAAATGGTATTCTTTGAGTAATTTAGCTCATCTTATTTGGAACTGATTGATTGCAAAAGCTTCTTTACAATCGTTTTTTGTTTTACGCTTACCAACTAAACATGCTAAAAAGTTAAATAATGTAGGCAAATCATTGGCTACGAAACAAAATAAAAAGAGGGGGAAAAAAGGCATGGGAAGATGGCTTTAGTTTTGGTTTTTGCTTTTAGTAATACTATTTTAGAACAGATAGAACGGGGTGGGTTGCGAGGATGGGGTGGGAGTGCAGCTAGTTTTGGCCGGGTGCTACATAAGTCTTTTATAGCTCTGTACTAAATCGTACTAAAATCAATAGGAAACGATGAAGTGCACTTAGTACAGTTCCAATTTGAATGCCGCTTGAATCTGATAGGTCTGTTCTAAAAGTGTTCTGAACGGCTATCAACTAGCTTACTCTCTACTACTTTATATAATTGCAAGTGTACTAAAACGTGCTAAAACGGCATAGTGGTGCTCCAGAGTGTGCTTAATATAGTAGGCACTCGCTTAGTGAAATCCCTAGTAAATCCCTTTCGGTTCTCAAACAGACACACTAAGCAACAGACAAAATGTACAAAATGTGGGCGCAGTTTTACATCTAACAATAGTTAGATAATTTCTAGGAAGCGGAGCCTCTCCTCCTAAATTGTGGGCTTCTATTCTCCAACGTTCTCATTACTAGAGTAGGCTTTCAGAATATCCTTGATGGCTGCCTGGGTGCCAAAGGTCAGGGCTGCAAAGCCGCACAAGGTGATGACGGCGTTCTTCCACAGTATCCAGTTGTACTGACCGAATCCTGTCTCCCAATGGACAATGAGCTCAATAACCACCTGGAAATCAAAGGAACATATAGTTAGTAAGTGGAAAATTAAGCAACTGATATATTAAACTTACAGGGAAGATCAATCCCAGGATGGAGAAGCAGAAGGCACCGATGAGACCCATGAATGGGCCAATTTTAGGAACAGCCACGGCCAGAACAACGGCAGCAGTCACCATCACTGTCCGCAGCACATAATTGACCAAAGTCGGACGCTTCTTGCACTTCTCCTTGATGCCATCCCACACGATCTCCAGGCACACAAAGAACTGCAGTCCAAATGTGCAATACACGGCCAGGGAAATGAGCACCTTAACAGCCTGGGCGGGCCACTCCGCGATGGGCAGATTCAGGGTGATACTCTCCTCGGTTCCAGCACCATAGCGCAGATAGCCAAGGAATCCCAGCAGCATGTAGATAAGGGTCACACCGGACATACCCTGGGTGAGCACTCCGCAAATTCCGAGGAAGCTCTGCGGCGTCTTCATGTTGTTCTCCAGCGGCATAACCACACCGATGGCCTCCATCGCAAATATTGTGATCGAGAAGAATTGCGGCAAAGTGTGCCAGGACACATACTCGCGATTCTCCACCGGTGGCAGATCCTGCACCAGGTAGTAGAACGTAATGCCCAGTCCCAGGGCCATGAAAACATTGGCCACCATGGAGACGGGCGCCAGGTACTTGAGGTTGGGCACCCAGGCAATCAGGATCAAGGGTATCAGCATTGCGCAAATGAGCATACGCAGCGACACCGCCGTTCCCGTCCAGTGGGCAATCAACTGCTCAAAATTGGAGGCCACGATCACAGTGTAGACCGAGCAGGTACCGAAGTAAGTCAGAAACAGACCAAACAGGATGGAGAACTTGGCCACCGGGGCAAAGCCTCGGCACCATTTGGGTCCTTTCTGGAAGGCAGCCTCGGCGATCTCGGCAAAGGTCATCTTGGTGCGACGTGTCCTGTAGTACAGCTTGTGACCACATTTAACCTGGAAAAAAAAAAAATCATTTATTAGTTAAATTGTTTGAAATTCCTAGTATTTACTTATTAAAATTAAAAGTTTATTGCCAACACTTACCAGAACGTAACTGCAGTGCGTGCAAATGAAGGCGGTGAAAATGGTGGAGAAGATTCCCATGATGATACCAGAGCACATGAAAGCGAACGGCATGCCCAGGATGCCAGTTCCCAGGGAAGCCTTAAGCAAATGCGTGAGAGTTTCATTATCACTACAGAAGAAAGGGGTAAATAAATATTAATTTACATTTTAAACATAGTAAGATAACAACTTACGTTGTGGGATGTTCGTTGTCTCGCAGGGCGAAGGGATCAAAGTCATTTCCTGCCAAGGCCTGCTCGGTATCCGACTTGCGGGGTTGGATTTTGTACCTAAAAGTTCAAAAGAGAGTAAACCCATAAGTTAAGGAATTTCTCTGAGGTTAGACTCCATTTATATGGCCACCTCAACTCCACATTGGTGGGTTCTAAGTCGCCCATTGTCATGCTGTTCGGGCCGATCGTCTGTGTAAAACTAAAACTCGCCACGGAACGGCAGCGGTTTCTTATATGCTGACAGTGAAATTCCCTTGCACGGAATTGCTGCATCTGCAATTACACTTGTCGTGCAACCGTCGGCTCAAAATACTACACTTGTAACTTAATGTCGAGAGAAAAGGAAAGAAAAAAACTGCCGCTGAAGTCGAAGGCATTTGCCGGCCGAATTTGGTCAGGCCGTTTCTGATTGGCCTGGCCTGGCCAATTGACGGAATCTATGGATTCCGATCCATTCCAGAGTGACTGACTCGACTTGCCGATTTAGTTGCATCAGCCATAAAAGAAAACTGCACACGAAAGCTGAAGAACTCAGCCTGGCTTTATGCTCAGAATATTTCGCACACCCAGGTTTCAAAAGCTTCCCAAGGTATGCTATGGATTTTACAGAACCAGAGGTTATCGTAAGAAACAAGCAGAATATATTTATATATTTCTTATAATAACTAAATAAATATTATAATTTTTCTATTCCAAATTCGGAAAAATGTAATATGGTATAGTCATAAGAACTTTCTAAACTGTCCATTAAGTTTCAGTCCTTACATGAAGACTAATTATTCATTGCAAAATTAACTAAAAAATAAAGTAACATTCATTATCTAGAATACGTGCCTATAGCTTAAGTTAGCTGAAACCTTTAATAACACCGCAATATATTTACCATTTTTCAAAACGCTAATTTTTATAAGTGCCCCGGATGTAAATCATTTGAATGACAGCGCTTTTTTAGCACACGGATACTAAACTATACAGCTACTGGTAATTGCTGATATACAAAACCCCTTTTTAAATGAAAGTTCCGGGAACATACAATTGTACTGTATTAAAATCATGAGATTATTTTTCATTACGAAAATTCCTATCAGTTCAAGAACAAAACTCAGGTTATCAGCTATAGTTCATTGAATCAATCTATAAGTAATGCAGCGTCATCAAAATACGTTTTTGAATGACAAGAGCAAGGCAGAAAAAATTTTAATATTTATTTATAATAATACGAATAGAATTTCCCTGGTCAAAGTGCAGAAAAGTTTTGAATGTCATCTTTTGAAAATTTAAAGTGTACAACACGTGTGCCTGCTGATATTGTCATACAAATTGCAAATTTATTTCACGCCTTTTCCGTTCGTTGGAGCTGTTTTGCACATTTCATTTTCTTGTTTATCTCCTCAACAATAATATTTGCATCTGAAGGTAGATCAGCAAAGATCGATATTGGCTAAACGTCAGCAGATGGGATGCATAAATATTTTTGAAAACCTGCCAGCAGCAGCACCTTGAACTTGGGAGATAACTCACAGTATTGATTAGCAAAACCGCTTAGATGTACGTAAGTGGATTTGATTTGAGTTTGATTTATTTCTATTGCGTTCTACGGTCGGAATTCATATTAGGTACACCTCGACTTCACAGAGGCTTACGTGATTTGTGCCTATTAGAAGGCAAGAGACTGATTGATTATACAGTTTTTTATCTGGAGAACTTAGCCCGGCTATCATGACTACTCTCGAATGGCTAGACATCTAATATTTTAATAGCTGGGCGGCTACAGATCCCAATCCCCTCTTCAAGCCCATAATTGATAATTGAAATCAATCTGAGCTGCCCGTGTCAGAGTGCCAGGCTTTAAGGTCTTACAAAGCATTTCTAGTCTCAATTTAGAAGTCGACGCCACATCAAAGGCCAATTAGCGACAGCAAGACACTAATCTACTCGTAAACTTAATTGGCAAACATGCCACACCAGCAATTTAGGCGAAATATTTTTAGCACATTGACCACACGACGATGACACTCACATGACTTTTCCTTCGCCGGGCAGGAATTGCTCCATTTCCTGGGGCGCATGCTTGGAGCCGCTGTCCTAAAAAGACCAAAGAAATGCCAACAATTAATAAAGGTAATTGCTCAATTGAGTTTCTAAGAAATGCTCACCACAATGTTAACCATTTTGAAAGCCGCTGTTTCCGTTCCTTAGTACGAAAAAAAACTGCAAAGAGATTAAATAAACAAACACATTTAGTTTTAAGAAATCTATTGGGTATCAATCATATATCATAGCCAGTAAAACATCAAAAGATCCAATTGATCACCATCCATTTAAGATCATATTTCCTTCTGTGTAGAACAAGTATTCCTTTATTGATTTAATAATGAATTTTAATTGAGATTGTGGCGCTCAGACACTTTCATTTCCAAACCGGCTATTTCCAGACCCAAACTAATAGAATCCCCCTTTATTAGGTAAACGAACGGACAGCATCGCTCTTGATTTGATTTAATTGTCTGCGATTTCAGACTGAGATATTCCAATATGCAAAAGTTCAATTGCCCATTAATTGTTTTGTGCGACTCACTTTCAAATTGAGGATGTTCGGTTGTCTTTAATTTATGGAAATAAATTGTGAATTCATTTTTCGGCAATTTGTATGCAAATTGAACATAATTTCGTTCATTGAAAACCTGCTCTAATGAGTTTTATTTTTAGTCCCTTTGGATGATGTCGCAAGTATTGTGTTCTCGATGAAAAATTTCGGTTAATTGGTTTTTCCTTTTTGCGTTTCGGTTTTTGTGTCCCAGTTCTATTATTAATCCGTTAAATCCCAGTCACATGTGCCATATTTCACATAGTAAATGTGTCGAGTATGTGCTGAGTGGGTGAGTTTTTGTACTTTAGACTGGCCCCCAATGAGTTTCAGGTATACCAATATTTCTCTACGGTGTTGTACATTTTTGAGAACTTAAATAAGGGGGCCTGCGTTTTGCCACTTAAGCTCATTCTTTCATTCGAGCAAATGACAAATGATATATTTATGTGCATACATTTATTTTGCATATCAATTTCCAGCTCTCAGACGCTGCGTAGACAGTTTCGGATGTCTAAAGATATCTTTTGACCGTTTGTTTTGGCCATGTTTCGCCGCATATTTGACAGATTTCGCAACAAGGTTGAATGACCTCCCCACTTGACTTGGCCTGACCTCTGCCCAAGGGTCTAGATAGACAGATAAGCCCTGCGAAGAGCACGAGCTACCACTTGGGGGCCACAAAACGAAGCTGGCTGACTTTTACGGCCATTTACAACCAATGCAAGGTAGCCAAAGGCAATTGGTATTGGTATTCATATATCACACGTTATCTAACCAAAGCGTCACAACAGCAAAATCACAAACATGGCACTCAATACCATCGATAAGATATAGGATCACAACATCGAACTGAATTATCGCTCAATGAATGAATCAAATTTTTTAGAGAACTCAATATCTGCGTGCTGCATACGCAATATTTTGGCAACACAGTCGAGTAAAGAACCTTCACCCAGTGTAGACCAAAAAAAAAAAAAACGAAAAATGTTGGCACACATTTGGTAGTATTTTGTTTTATTTTTTTTTTTGTTCACTATTTCTATATTTTTAGTTGTAGGTGCTTGGCGTTTGTCATGCCAAATGTTTGCTCTTATCGCATACATAGTTTGCACTATTTTTTGGCCCAAAACCACTGCGAACTGGTTCGCCGATTTATCGGAAGATATATATACATACATGTTATATATGTGCTCGTATCGGTATTATCATTTATTTCGGTTGCGTGAGCAAAAAGCATGACACGGCTAAAATCAAACCGAAACATATACAAACCGATCCGGCATTGGGAACAATTACAGGGCATGGGAATTGCCGAAAAATAGCTCGATTGCATCATTTCAATTGAAATATCTTAGGTGTGCGTTTACTTTTTCTTTTACTTTTGCACGATCGATAGTTTGTTGCCCTGTTTATTTATCCTCTTTGAGTAGACAAGTCTTCAAAATGTAAAAAAAAAACCTAAAAATGTATCACATGATAAAAATCTGTGTTGATAATTTTTTTTTTTTTTTTTATCCCATAGCTTGTGAAAACTCTAATTAATTTACCAAATGCTACAATGTATTTGTCTTGAAAATACAAATTGTCAATTTGCTAAAATGCACATCGTTCAGCTATAAAATGGTTTCTGAGCACTTTGCTATATTTAATCTTAACCAATTATCATCTGCCTGCCAAACGTGACAGATCTCTAAAAACCAAATTAAAACCTTGAATATCAAAAATCTTGCTAATGCAAAATATTCAGAGTATCTAAGGAAAGTAATGCCGCATTATTTGTATGTCATGCTAGATGAAAACAAAGAATCTTGTTAATGGCATGTGAGCGTGAGAATAGCCAGCAAAATGCTGTTGCTGCAACTATGTATGCAGCTGGCATAAATTCGAACTCTTTATATTTCGTACACCCATCTGGTTTTCTCTTAAACTCTCCGGTTTCCTATTCAGCAGCATCCCCACATGTTGAGAGCAACTATATAATCAAAACCCACCCGGTCGAGCCCCTCAGCCACAAATGAAAACCACGTGTTTGTACTGCGTTGCTGAGGATTTCTTTTTATAACTACTCTTAGCAGACATAATGCCATTTTGAAAGAACCTTCTAAAGAGTTTGGGACATTTTTGATAAATTCATATATTTATCGTTGGAACTGACTCATAATAATAGGAAATAGCAGCGGAAGTAGTTTAAGGAGTGTGTAATCATCATGGGGAGCCCAACCCTTAAAACATTATCCGATAATGCCGTCACTTCTCCCCCCACAATATCCGAGTGCGTTCTGCGTAAGCATAACGCGATACTCTCATTCTTGGCTAAATCTGTTTATATTTAGACTCAAGTTCATCACAGCGTCGTGCTGCAAAGCTTTTCTAAGATTTCATCAGCCAAAAAGTATTTGGGGTTTTTTTTTTGTACTCGTGGAATGCATTTGCCGCATGAGTTTTTGGAATGGGAAAGTTGACTCTCCTTATCTAGTGGTCAACAAAAAGGTTTCTGATTTCCCCCCTTTTGAGCGTTACGTATGCATGTTTATTTAGGGGCCTCATACAAAAATGAATTGCGAATTCAGCCAATCGCCGTACAGTTAGTAATTATTTTTTGTGGTAGGGTTTTCTGCGGAACTTGAGAGATAGTAGAACATGATTCGTGGAAGCAAACAAGGTTATGACACTCAACACGTCTGCAAAGAGGGCTGATAAAAGTAAAATATAGGGGAGCGGTATGGGTAGTACATCTTTATCTCTAGAGCATTGTAGAGTCTAACTGATTTTTGAATGTTTTAGTTTTTTCACCTTTCTAAATTTTAAAATCTCAAAAAATATTTAAGCAGCTGTCTTCTGACGTTTTAATGAGCTCAGAGATCACTCTACGTCATCAGAACGAGGTTTAGACTCCATATGCATATGAATAACAAGCCCGTGGCACTTCAATGAGAAACTGCTGATCAAATAGAGCTCCCAATGGGCTTCTACAAATTCACCTTATCAACGCGGGAGACACGAGTTATAAAATAAAACCCTAATATCTGTCCGTCGTAAGCGGTTTGTCTGTTTCGTGTTATCTACAGAAGCTCTGGAAAGCAAATGCAATTTGGCTGTTTGAGGTGCTTAAAATAATGAACAGCACTTGGAGAGTTTGCATGCGGTCGTTGCATAATGCCAAACCTGATAACAACCCACGCACACCGCCATAAAGGTCACATTATCGTTTTAGAAGCTCTATGAATATATGGTTTTTATGGACTATTTTTTTCGGTAATTGTTTTCTGCCTTCAGAGCGGTACTTTTTATTGGAAACTTTTTATCGAACGTCGATTTGTGACCGCCGTTCAATGGTCCAATCGATTTGGGGGGAACTTGGCTACCTGATAAAGAAACGACCTTCTCAGGTGTTACGGAAATTAGTTGCATCTAAAAATAAATCAGTTTCTGTCCGGTCAGCGGAGGCAAGAATGGCAGGCGGTCAAGTGTAATGTCTGGTGGAAAATTGCGCAAATGGGAAATGTGGACAAAAGAACGGAGGCGATTGACAGCAAAATAACAGTAAACAATCCTGCATTGACATTGAATAGGACAGAGACCTCAAGCTTAATGCCCTTATGTTATATTACCGGAACAATATTACATTTAGCAGAACCTTAACTAATTATTACAAAATAGTATTGACGTATTAAAAAGTGTTTTTGTTATTCAGTCTTTTATGTGTTTATTATAAGATGGCTTAAAAACTATACTCAACTTTAAATTTCTCTCTATAACAATTAGGAAACCATAAAATACCCAAAGTTCCTCTGTAAAATCTTTTGTTATACCCCAAAGCAAAATTAAAAATTCCTAATCCCAAAATCGCATGTGTGTAAAATAGATTTATTCTTGGAATATGTCAAATGTCTCGAAGGCCGCCCACGCAATCAACAGTTGCACCCACTCTCTTTCTTTCTTTTCCGTAGCTCTCTCTTCCTCTGGTTGGTACTGTTTTTTCACCCACTTGCTTTCCTTGGACTCCAGACTCTGACGTCACAGTTTTACTGCGTCTTTGACTTTTGCTTGTAAATGGCTGTTATGTTAATTACCAACAACGACAATAGCACCAAAATCAATAACACAACTACAGAATGAGCGCGTAAAAAAGGGAAATGGTTACATCGTAAAGATATGGCCAAAACAGACACACCTCAGCACAGAAAGAAAGTCATTTAAGTGCTGAAAAACAATCATAAGTCTTCAAGAATTAAGTCCTAATATATTATGGGAACTTGTGTGTTTTTCTCTTTAATAATCCCTATTATATTCCTATATATGTATTATTCCTTTCTTAATAATTCCAACATACTATATAAGATATAATAAAAATAATAATCATCACTACTAAATTACCACCGAGCTTAAGGCCTTTTGCTGCTATAGCTGTAAAATAAACCAACCAAGCCAACAGGCTTATTTTTTTTAAACTATTTTTTAGATAATAATAATAATAATAAAATCCCTATTACAACAAGGATCCGAGAGATAAAGGGATTTTTAAAAGTATTTATAATTTGTCTTATTTGTTACCGTTTCTCAAATTGTACGGGTACCAATAGTTCTCAAGTGATAGAAATTTAAAGGCTTTAAAATATCTAGAGATATAGTATTATCTATATTGATACCATATGATTGATTTATATTTCTTTCTGTGCATCCATCCCATTTTGGCCTGGTTTCCCTTTGGCCATGTCCTTGATGAGTCAGTTTGGATCGGTCTAAAAGTGGGTGGGTGCACTAGTTCGTGTGGGTGAGGTAATTGCATTGACGTGTGCAGATAGCTTTGATAGTAAACCCTCTTTTTTTTCGTTGATGTGCTTTTCTAACACTTTTTTCGGTCCGCTGGCATTGGAGGGAACTTTCCCTTGGCTAAGTGCTCAATTACAGCTAAATTACGTATTGCAGTTTAGCGAGAAACGTGGAACATCAGCAAGTCAAATGGGGAAACCTATTCGCAGCCATTGAACTATCGCATACACAAACAACAAACACCAAACTGCAGAGGAAAGCGCGGGCACTCGGGAAAATGAAAATGCTAATATTCCATTCATGTGTTATAAAAAAAAAAAGAATTCTTCAAAAGAACCGAAAAATTAATTGGTACAAAATTGAAATTGAAGAAAGAGGGAACCGCAAATAACGGGACAGGTGCAACGTGGTCTTTTTAATGTCGACGACGCAAATGCACGCGTGTCTCTTATTTTTTGACTGTCGAAATTGTTGGGCTTTATGAAAAGGTTTCCGTTTTAATTGTGGTTATAATTGTCACTGTGGTTATTTCTGGTCCGCTTTTTTTCCCGATTTCGGGGCTCTCACCTACACTACTCTGTTTTTTTTTGACAATGTCAATTAATTATACACTTTTTCGTGGCTTCCATTAGAATGTTTTTCGAATACATAACACATGTGTGCTAGACAGTTGCACTCTGCCTATGCTATTTTCAGACAAACCCAATTTTTTTCTGTTTCTGCCATGTGCTTCACGTCGCCCTCTTCCTCTTTCCTCTTCCCTTCACGCCAACTGTACACATGTAGCTTAGCATTTCTGGTTTTTCGTAAACGCTTACGTTTCTTCCTTTTCTGGATTGCTGGCGGTACACGAAATGCCGCGTAAATCAAAGAGTTTATCTCCCGGTCGATCGCCCTCGGTGTTTTTGGTCAAATAATCGCTTGAATAATGCCAACAGTTCAACGTAGCGCTGCTGGCTACCAAAAATCGGACTACCTCCCACGAGAACCGGTGGACTGCGCGAAATCCAAAGAGTAACTGTGAAGAGCGCTCGGCGGCGGGCTGTTTAAATACTCGGTGAGAGCCGTTGCGGGAGCGCGCCAACACAAAAACGCAGCCGGCTTCGTATAGGTCTGCCAAACTATCTTTTTTTTTTTGGATGAATGTTTTAATTTCTGAATTCATAACTTAATTTACTAGCTAATAAAAAATGCAAAAATCAATTAACTTACAATTAAAAATGTTTAAGTTCTTAATAACATTTTTAAAAAGGTCTGAGGTTTGAGCAACTTTAAGTTTTGAAATGAAATAGTTTTGAAAATTTGCAAAAGTTGATATGACTTTTTCCCGCTAAAAAACACATATGCTTCGTTAAAGAGAAGAGAGGGGAGCACAAGAGAGCCAGAAGGCGCAAAGCCGGCAAAAGAGAAGGAGAGTAGCCAAAAGTCAGGAGGCACAAAACAAAGGACGACAAAAAGGATGCGCTGAATTAAAGGAGAGTAAACCAAACGAGAGATGAATAGTAAGATATAAAGAGAGAGGGAGCCAGAGAGCAACTCCTAAAGGGCAAGGGCCTTCTCCATATTTTTGGATGACGAAATCTAAGTCAAGCTTTGCATAAGCGTGGCAAATTCTATAGTTCCATACTCGCCGGAAACGCGAAACTTTAAAATTGGAGTGAGGGTAGAGCGGTGATATCCTTTGCAAAGAAATTGTTAAACAGAATTTCATCAGCAATTAGGAGGGAACAATTTCTGTTCTGAGAACCGAACAAATTGATATTCGTAAATATTTATCCAAGCTTTTGCTCGCTCACGGTGTTTAGTAATAATTTTCTCCCGCTCATGAGTACGTCATCGTTCTACTACTTTCTATTGATGAAATTCACTTTATTATGGAACCGGTTTGTTTTCGCCAGTCATTTATCAATTAATTGCGATATGCGAATGAACTGATTACGTAGAGCTACAAAATATATAAAAAGGTGTCTACATATAAACAATATAACATGAAACACACTTGATATAACAATATCTGGATGGATTGCTAGGATATTCCTAACTTTATAATCGTAAACCACGATTGAAAGTATACTTAGTAAATCTGGAAAATGGTTATATGTCATTAAACTATTGAAAGATATTTTTTTAAAAAACACAGATTTTAATTACTCATTTTTAATTATAATCAAAATTATGTAATTTTAGGAAGGTTCATTTCTGGAAATTTTTTTTAATTTCTTGGACTAGCACTAAGAGAGTAATAAAAACAGATGGCCGTGCAGTTGATATTTATATTTAATAAAAAAGCAGCGATAGTGCTCGCGTGCTAAAATGGGGGGCTATAAATACTAGATAACGTGACCAATTGAATAGATAAGCGTGAATTTGAAATAGTCTTAATTAAAATAAGTTTTATTTACCATTTCCTGCGAAATAAGACTGAGTTTAGTTGTTTGATTTATATTGCAAATATTTCAATAAATTCTGACAAGGCACCTATTTATGTGCCATAATATAATAATAATGCACGCTTATCATTTGAGTTCTTGGACGTTTGCCAGTAAAAATAAAACCCTAAATAAGAAACTCTTCATACAAGAAGAACAAACCCCCAATGACTAAAACACACTTGTTAAAATGTAAAATTGTATTCCAAAAATCTTTTATTTGTTACCGTACAATAATTTTTATTTCGCATAAATCATATGAAACCGCTAAAAGTTCGTTTTGATTTTCTGCAAATCCCACCAGTGGTGGTAAACTAAATTTGCGTATTCCGATAAAACCTATGAGATTTGAAATCTACAAATGTAAAGTGGTTTTGTGAATATAATTTGAGCTTGAACTTCAAATAAAATGGAGATTGCACTGGGTATTCTTACAATTGATTAAAGTATTTATTTGTGACTGATTCGATTCGATCTGATAGATGTGGATATTACAAGGGGGTCTGGTCTGACTGTGTCTGTAGTTTCTATGCGTTGGCCAGTTTTGAACCGCCATTCAGTTACTATTGAGTTGAGTTTGAGCTATGGTTAGGTTAGCTGTAGATTCATCTGAGTTCGATTAAGTTGAGTGATTGAGTGTAGTTTGGTGTCTTTTAAGTGGCCTCTTCAGTTGCGGAGTGCATGCGGTTTTCTTCCTTTTAAAAATCTCCTTTTAATGGACGTAGTGTCTTAGAGTCTATCAAAATAAATGGCAGTAAATTACACATAATGGTATATCAAAGTAGCAGTCGTATAACTCGTTCAGGTGGTCTACACGTATCCCAATTTTAAGTCTGCCTCCACACACGCGCTATGCATCCGAATTTTGTTTAGCGATACCATCTATTTGAAGCCCAGCGCCCTATGGCTTCAAATAAATGAACCGTCAGTGTTCCTCTGGTGGTGTACGGAATTCGGAGATCCAGTCGGTGACACGCAGTCGAAAGATCTCCGTTTTGGTCAGGATCCAATCACGATACTGGTGTGGTATATACTCCACTAGCTTGTCTGCGATGTCGGGATTCTTGAACATGATCATATAGATGATCAGCAAATTGATGACAAACAGGACGAGAAAGGTCACCAGTGAGGATAGTGCGGCCCTTGAGAGTAGATTCAACCATGAGCCACCATTCGAGTTCTTTTTCTTTTGATTGTTCTTCAGACTTGACTTAGATCCCGATCCAGTTCCTCCACTTCCTGATGGTCCTCCGGCGTTCACTGGTTTGATTGTCAGCTCGCTGTCTCCTCCTCCAGCAAGTTTTTTGGCTTTCGCTTTCTTATTATTGGGCTTAGTGGACTTTTTTCCGCCAGTTGCTCCGCCATTTGCTTGGGCAGAGTTGGAGTCCCCGGCTCCGGCCATTTTCAGGGTCTCCTGGGCGGCCAAACGTTCACGTTCAATGAATTCCGGTTTGTAGTTGGCGCAAATGCTGACCTGGATAATGAAGAAAATGGAGAAAAAAGTTACATGTGGGAAAAACGGGCGCAAAGCTGTGCCACTCGAGGGCCACTCGAGTCGACAAGCACTTACAGTATTCTTGGCCGCCTGCTGGCAGTCCTTTTGCGTGGAGCAGCAGCCCACAATCTTCTGCCAGGCGGGCGTCAGGGGGTTCCCCTTCAGATCCAAGTAGCGCAAACGACGCAGCTGACCGAAGCTGATGGGCAGGTGCTCCAGGCAGTTGTTGTACAGGTCCAAGTGGCGCAGCTGCTCCAGCTGGCCAAAGTCCTCGGGCAGGAATGTTATTTGATTCTTGCTCAGATCCAGTCGCACCAGACGTGTGAGAATCGAAAAGTTTTTCTAACCAAAAAGGGGGTGCCCAAAAAGTGACATTTAGGAAGTGTTCTAGACTGAGACTTGGAGGAGCTACTTACTCCCAGGTTGACCAGGCGATTGCTGGAGAGATCCAAAACAGTGACGCGCTTGAACGAAGCCTGCAAAGCACAAGGACAAACTGAATTGAGAACCAGTGGCAAAACATGACCGAAAAAAGAAACCCCCGAACAATGTAACTTAAAAATCCCTTTCTCTTATTTTGCACCCTTTTTGGTTAGGAATAAGGGTATGTTGGAGATGTTTTAATTTATTTTACCTTTACTTCTAGATTTAATTTATCATTAATTAATTTTAATTTTAAGCTAAAGCCGCAAAAAATAAAGTATATTTTTTCTAAGTAATAGTACTAAATAATAAAAAATAAAAAAATTAGTTAACTTTAATGCTAAAATGTAATTAATTAAATTATTCATTTTTTACACCTTGGGTCATTATAATGTTTGTAAGGAAGTGAAATATAGAAATGTTTCCTGGTAAGTTAATATACATATCATGTATTTGCTACCATAAGAACAATGCAAAATTTTGATTTTTTTAATGCAGTTACCTATATTTTTCTGCTTAATTGTTTATACTTTGTATTTATACTAGTTTAGTCACACTTAAATTCGTAAAAACTGCAAGGGTATTATTTGTAAGATCCAAAATGAAGTACCAGGTATTTTATAGTCGACTTTCACACTCGCTCTACTTTTTTTTTTGGCAACCTTCTTGGTTTTTGAGGGGTGGCAAAGACCAAAAATCAACCCCCTCGAGCGAATTCAACTGCAATTCCAACCACACAAGGGTTAAGGGGTGGACGCAAGAGAAGAGGGAGAGGGTCAACGTCAGCGTTAATTGCAAGCCAGCCGGCAGAACAACAACAACAACACGAAGAGTGATATGGAGCGGAGAGAGAGAGGAAGTGGGTTTCTCCTTCTCCAGCCCAACACAATCCCCTGCCCCCGCTATTCGAGCAAGCGAGATAGAGAGTGACTAGACATTCGCCAGACAACAGACGTGGCCCCCAAGAGGAAGTGAGATGGGGGATAATGTAGATAGAGACACCAAGAACCGGCGCTAATTACTTGTACTTGTTCTTGTACTTACAATCTCCCGCACCGGTATTTCGCTCAATTCGGAGAGGCTCAGGTCGCAGGACTCGTCCACCACCCGCTCCTTCACGTTCACCTTCACCTTCGCCTTGTCACCGGGTTTCGGCATTTTGGCGACACTTATTTATCCACAATTTTCGATTTAGTTCCAGCTGTTGTTTTTCCTCTGTTTTTTTTTGTTTTCCTCGGAAACTTACGAACTTACGTTCACTTACGTTTACCTTACGTGATTTTCAAAAGTTACATTGGTGGGAAGGCGCCTGTAAGCTCGAAAAATACCAAACACAATCACGATAACGGCAGTTTTTTATAAGCCAGCGAGTACGGGCATACTAATGACTTTTCAAATTGGCTTACTTTGATAAAGAAAAAATATTATTATAAGTAAACTTTCAATAACAAAAGTTAAATCAAAATCAGCTTCAGACCAATTTCCTCTGTCTGATAGCGCTTCGAATTCTTTACGTTTTAAAGGTATTTTTCCATAAACACAATTGGGTTTAAAAATTAAACTAAGATATTTTTTTTATTTTATTCAATAGCTACATAGTAGTCTAGTTCCTAAAATAAAATATTTACCTAAAACTGAACCTTTGGTCGGGGTCTGATTTTTTTAATATTTCAAATTATAAACTCTAACTAAATATACATTTTTCAATATTTTTTAATGTCCTCTTGTCAACAGATTGTCTTAAATACTTGTAATTAAGGTCGATTTTCTAGTTCAAAATGGAGATTCGTTCGCGTATAGATACATAAATCAGGTGAGTATTAACTTTTAACATAAAAGTCTTAGTTTTGATTCATTGGACAGTTTAACTAACTTAAATTACTTTGCCTAATTTTAGCTAGTTCTTCGCGTTTTACTTCGATTTCCATTTCAAGTAATTGGTTCTTCAGTCGAGCCGTTTGCAGTTCAACAACTTGTTTTTCTACTTCGTATTTGTGTTGTTCAGCGGCTCTGGAATTCTGGTCTCTATAATACTGCTGTTGTAGCTTAAACAATTCAACCTGCTCCTTTTCAGTGCGGGGTGTTCTATTGATTTGTGGCAAAGTTGGAGAACCGCATTCCCTTAATCTTTTCGCCTTCCATCTTTGAGAAGCCTCTAGGATGGATACCTCGGGGTCGTCGATATCATCAATGTTCTTGAAAAAATATAAAGGAGATTATGGAACTTGGTTAATTAACTACTTTTAACTTACCTGCAGTAGTTGAGAGCTATCTGAGCTGATGGATGGATTTTCTTCTTTGGCTACATTTATTAACTGGAAGTTTCCTGCAAACAGTTTTGGGTTTGTATATTTTGTTATATTGGCTATAAATTACCATCCTTTTACATACATATTTATAACACTTACCATCGCTGTCAAACTGGTTTTCCAGCGGGGTGGTGATGTTTCCTATGTGTCCCTCATTGTTATCCGTCATTGAGGTCCTGGAACACCATGAACTTCCTGCAAAAGAGAGTTCCCTTTCGTGGTCCCAATTCTTAACTCCTCTGTACTTATTCCGGGAATTTTTCTTCATATTATCGTATTTTTCACGCAGGGCAGCACACGTTCGGTCGGTTCCTGTTTGTGCCCTAAACTCCGCGGCCAATTGCTCCCACGTTTCAGCCTTCCTTCGCCAAGTTGCCGCATCTTTCTTCTTGTCCTGCAGAATATCCTTTTTCAACAGCACGAGATCAATTAGAACATGTTCTTCCTGCTCGGAAAAGTTTTTTCCTCGAATTCTTTTAGCAGACATTTTAACAACAAATAAAACATAAACACGGAACAGCTGTGTGCCCTCTTTATCGATACCTTAGAATTTCATCCCTGGTCGGATATTAAGAAAAGTAACTTGTTTTAGGCGCCCTTTTTTGTTTCAAAAATTGAAAATTAAATCGCTTAGTTTTTCGTAAAATGTTTGTAATTGCGAAAAACTTATGCAATGTGTAGGTACTATGATAGTTCAACAACCCCAAGTGTTGACATTTTAGCATTTGTTAGTTTTAGACCATTGTTATGATTTCTATCTTCAGTATTCCAAGTACCTCCTACTCCATATTAATAGTATATACCCAGCAATATACAATTTCAGATAATTTTACATTTATACCCAGAAACAACATAGAATTTCAGGTAATTTTACATTTATTGTGTAAAAGAAACAGATTTTTATCAAAAGTCTGCGGCTGCAGCTGGCTACCACTGCTTAGTCCTCCTCCTCTTCAGCAGCTCCGCCGCCACCGCCCTGGTTCTTCTTCAGGTTCTTCCTCTTGACGCGACCGGGACGGCCGCCGCCGAAGGGCGACTTCAGGGAGAAGTCGATGTGCTTCTGAGAGTCCAGGCGCACCACGAACGACGGGATGTTGACCACCTGCTTGCGCACACTGTGGAAATAGACAGATAAATGGGATTAGTTAAATATGGTAGCAAGGAAAACCATCAAATGGTGGCTGCTGGATTAGGCCTAAGAAAAACGTTCAGTGCAACTTACGCTAGGCGGGCATTTTGCAATTTTGATTGGAGTGAACCTAGTCACATGCGCAATCTACAGACGTTGAGAGCCGGTGCAAGCTTTGGAGCTTGTTCGACTCCCAAGTGGTCTTACTGAACAAAACAGATTTATATCTGAGAGAGCCTGGCGACGCTGTGGTCGCCTATCCAAGCGATATTTACCGAATGTGACGCTGGCGGATCAGCACGCGGGCGTGATGGATGGACTTGGCCAATCCCAGCTTGAACACCTGCGTCTGCAGACGGCGCTCCAAGAAGTCCTCGATCTTCAGACCCAGCACGTAATCGAGCTTCATGCGGGACTCGTCCAGGACACCGATACGGACCAAACGACGCAGCAGGGCGTTACCTGTGGGTAAAAAGGATGTTAAATTAAGGGGGGTTCCAAAGAGCTATAAAATGTTTGGTCACAGAACTGTGTTCAGTGTGTATTTGTTAACGTCAATGATTTTTTCAGACAAGAAGTGTCAGAATATTTTTTTAATACAGTTCATCATGTCAGTGTACTACTGCTTATACAGTCGAACTTCCCTAAGAATATTATCAAGTACATATGGTTCAAGAGTTCCATTTCAGAAAGTTCGACTGTACATTGTATGTAGCCCTTACCCTGGAAAAGACGCTTCTCATCCTTCTCGTCGAGGGTCAGCAGCTCACGGGCGGCCTTACGGATCTTGGCCAGGGCGTACTTGACGCGCCACACCTCACGCTTGTTGCGCAGACCATACTCGCCGATGATCTTCAACTCCTGGTCCAGACGCGCCTTTTCATAGGGGCGACGGGGAGTCACATAGGTCTTCGAGAAGACCGAGGGTATGCGGCCGTTCACCATGGTTCCGACAATTCAACCGAGCACTGCAATGGAAAAGTGAGGTTAAGGTCGGTGAGCATGCGGTTTTTCAAGCCAGCTATTAAGTCTCGCTAAAACTTTGGATTGACTTCATTCGATGGTATTTTATTAAGCGCTAAGCTTAGAAGTTTGTATCTATCTATCAGGCAGTTTGTATTTTCACATTTACACTTATTTTTTCCAAGTTTTTGCGGAGCACTCGATTTTGTACTTACGGTTTTGCTCACGTTTCGAAAGGAAAGAGAGAAGAGATGGGGATGTGAAAGATATATCGAATTAATACATCGATATTTTTTGAATAAAAATAAATACTATACAGTGATATATTTTTCATCTGAAATATCGACTATCGCGAAAATGAACCTGGTATTTTTATTTTCTACATCTCGCAGCGGTTGGCGGATGGTCACACCAGCTGATTTCAAATTTTTTCTTTTATTCTAACAACAGAAATATTTAATATATTTTTTATTTAAATAATCCAACAATAAATACTTTGAAATTACTTAAAAATAAACCAAAAAACATCAAGTTATAATTGATCTTTACATTGGTATTTGTTTTTTTTCACGCTAAAAAGTTTGTACAAGAAATGTAAAATGTTAGTTCCCTAGGAAAAAGATGTGGCTGAATTTGGAACATTTTGTGTCGAATGTCAATTTAGTTGCTTACATTTACGATGTAGATACAATGTAAAAATTTTTTTCAGTTTTGTATTGTTTTGTTTTTAAAAAACCTCATATTGAAAACACATAAACTACCGAAACGTCACAGGAAATAATTTTATTGTTTGAAAACATTAAAATACAAAGTTATTCCGAATACTTATCGACTCGAGTGACGTAGACTTTCACGTCCGTTCTCCATTTCTTCATCATGGATGCTCGCATTTGGAACATATAAACACCATTCGGAATTGGAATTTCTTTAATAGTGTTTTCATCGATGGGAAAACCATTAAATGTTATGTTTTGCTGTAGGTTTTACTTTAAGTAAAGAAAAATCCATCTAGCAACCAAACGATTCTCACCTGCAGCGGACAGGTGGCGTTCACATTGGACATTCTCATCAGGGGTGTCATCAGAAATCCAAAAACTCCACTGGCTAAAAACTTCCTACTAAAAAGGCAGTAGTCCAAAGTTTCATTTAGAAACTGAAAGCGACGATTTTTGACAATTTTAAATATTCCCAGGTTTAGCTAAAAAATCAATTTATTATTTCTTTTAAAATAGTTAATTTTTAAACTTACAATGATATCATCAATGGGATCTTTGTAGAGGAACACCTCATTTACAAAAAGGGCAGCTCGACCATTTTCCCCGCGCACCACTTTACATGTTTTAAAATATGTAAACGAAGGATCCAAGGTTCGGCAATCCATTTTGGTGACCGTAAAAACTTTTCCCTCGCTCCAATCCATTATGATAAGTATGGGGAGTACTAAATTCAATAGGTGATCTTTCATGTTGCCTCATCGACAGAAATAATTGAACTATTTGCATGCCTGGATCCGTTTTTAGACTATTTAACGGCTGGTTTGTTTTGTTTGATTTAAATAGATTTTTACTGGTTTTGAACTGGTTTGTTAATTATTTAAATAATCACTAAATTAATCACTCCGTCCGTAAACGTTAAACTGCAATCGCCATACTCCAAAAGCACCAACGAATACCACCAGTTTGTATTCACCTTCAGGTAGAAAGGAAAGCAGGTCTCTTACTGTCCGATCATTGAATGTCATTTGCCTCACATAAATATCTTTCTCCTGTTGTTGAAGAAAATATTATTAATATTTAATTATTATTTTAGTATACATACGGTATATGGACACGTGTGATTGGCATTGGTGGCATCCATCAGGGACTCGTGAAACATAAAGAAAATCGGATATTTCTCTGGTTTACGCATATAATAGCAAAAGTCAATGGTGTGATTCACCAGAAACTGCCTGTACACATTCGACTTTCGAAAAATGATCAAGTTGAGCTGAACTTTATTAATGGGTTGGTCGTATTTAATAGCCAGATGTAAATTCATGCCCACGACATTTCGACGCACCATCTTCAGGAAACACTTCTTAACCTCCACAAACTGCGTATCCATACTGCTGCATTGAAAGTTGGTGAACCGGAAATGGGCTCCTTGTAAGCCGGGATATAATACAACAGTCAAAACCAGGTTGATAATGGCCAAATACTTCATGTTGAATGTTGCGGTTTTGGTGACAAGTTGATTTCATAACGAGTGGGTTGCTCACTGCTATTATAACTAAATTAAGCTGGCTGAATAATTTGTCGTAAATAAAGATATTTATCTTTTTTTCTACAGTGAGCAGTAAAAGTACTGCTTCAAATCATTAAAATTTATTTGGTCGCAAACCTATGTTTTACTTATGTAGTAATAATTATAATTCCTGAAGTTCCACTTTGTTCCATTTGCTTAAAACTCGTAAATTATAATTTTCGTAGTAATTTATATTGTATATTTAGTCTTCACAACAAAGATCTAAAATACCAAATTATTAAACAATTTTTGAAGCTAGTCAACCCAAAAATAACATGTTCAATATTATATGCGTTTACTTGATTGCTTTCTTTTGCGATACAATTTGTTGCCTTTTTAAGTAAACAAATCTTAACTGAAAAAGCTATCTTTAAAACATAATGGAAGTAGGATATATTTAATTTCACAATTATATTTATGTTCTACCATAAGGTATTTAAAGCCATATCAATCACATTTTTTTGGTGTAAATTTTTATGCACGCATTATAATTTTTGTCGGTGGCAATTTTCACTTGTATCATGTAATCCCCATTGGATATGGGCAGATCCATTAAGTCATTCTTATTGAAGATAAATCCGTTGATGATCATATCCTGCTGTTAATAAAAAATAAGAGATTATTTAAGTTAATCTTATACAATATTTACATGTTATTTAGCTATTCAATTCAGAGTATTTCGTTACTCACGTCATAAGGACAGGAATGATTAATGTTTGATGCTGGCCAAAATGTCTTGTGCATCGTGTAAATTAAAGGATGAGCCTTGGGATTGCGCATATAGTAACAATAATCCAGGGTCTGATTAAAAAGAAATGGAAGATATCCGTTTGATCTTTTGTGGAACGACAAATTGACGTCGATATTGTTGATTGGCTTTTTATACCACTTCCAGATCATATAGAAAGCGGACACACCACGTTGAACAATCTTCATTTCGCATCGATTGAATTCCGAAATCGAAAGATCTAAGGACTCGCAAACCACGTTCTGCAACTGAAATGCTCCATTTACGAGTACTGAACAGAGTAAACTAAAAAAGATTCCAATAATCAGACTTTTCTCCATGCTGGGCTATTTCCACTAGACGTTTCGATTGAATCTGATTCTGTAAACTATATTTTCAATAGGTTTTAACCACCAATACCAATAAAAAAACCAATTTTAAAACGATTTATGAAATTGAGCGAGACTTGCAATTATTTGTTTTAAAATAATTTTTGGTTATTATCCCTCAACTTTTATTAATTTACATTTAACATCAAATAATTTGGATAGTAAATATGTTACCCACATTTTGTATAACTTAAATACTAATTAATCGTATCTTTTTGCGTAAATCTTAAAGGAAGCACGATACACTTTGTCGGTTGCCACTTTCAGTTTTATCATATAATCCCCATTGGGTATGGGTAGATCTCGTAAATCGTTCTTCTTGTAGACCAAATCATTTATTATCAAATCGTGCTGTTAAAAAATATATGAATATTTATACTATGGTAAATAAATATAAATATATTTATAGTATAAAAAACATTTTTCTTTTTTTATATTTAATTATACTTACATTATAGGGACATGAGTGATTCACATTGGATACTGGTAAAATTACCCTGTGCAACATATAAATTAATGGATGCGCTTGGGGATTTCGCATGTAGTAACAAAAATCGAAGGTCTGATTGAATAGATAAGGGAGATATCCGTTTGATTTCTTGAACAGCGACACATTAACATCCACATTGTTGATAGGCACTTTAAGTTTCAAAACCATATAAAAGGCCGACACTCCACGTCGAACAACCTTCATCTCGCAGCGTGTAAATTCCGACATCGAGAGGTCGAAGGACTCGCAAACCACATTTTGCAACTGAAAATCTCCATTTACCAATGTTGAACCCAGTAAAGTCCAACAAAATCCAATGATGAGACCTCTCTCCATGCCCTTTTGTTTTCAATTGATGCATTAGCATATCTATTAACCTTTTAAGCCTCAAATCATAAATATTTTCGAAGTTATTCACTTGGAAAAATGGCTGAATTATTAAAAAGTAATCGCGTCATCATTCAATCATTCATAAACAATTTTATATTTAATGGTAGTATCATTAGGGTACTGAAATTTATAATAACTTAAACAACTTGCCTATATTTGCTAATGAGTATAAAGATATTTTCCATCAGAAGTAGAAAGAAGTGGTTATACTCGTATTTAAATATACTCCCTTACTTGACCCAACTAATAAGCTTTTGTTTTGAGAAAAGTTTCAACTGAGTTACATATCTTTGTGTTAAAATAATTTATAAATATTTACCGACTTCTGAGGACCTTTGGTTTTCCCCCGCATACTTTGTATTTTCTTAGTTGCAACCATATCCTCGGTCTACCCACTGCACATGACAACTCCGCAGGACATGACCGGATAAACTTTTGCAATAAAATGCACGTGGAATGCCACAACAAAACGAGAAAGCTGCAAAACAATGTGCATTAGGTTGATATGTTCCACACGAGTCATTTGGCCGCAGGTTTTGTGTCCACAGCCAAAGTTGCTAAACTGTGACTATTTCCCCTTACCCCCAACAAAACTTGGTGTTTTGAATTTTCCCACCTCAACTGACCACAGATTTCCTTGTCTTCGCCGGCAAAAACGCTTTGTTGCACTCACCAACTGACCTTGTTAGCCGCCAGGTTAATCAGGAAAACTTTTAATTAGACAAATTATAACTTTGCCCCGGGCATCGGTAAACTTTGAACGGCGGCAAGTTTATTATTCATAACGGAAGCGGAAGTGGCAGCAAGGGTCGCCTCGCGATTACCTTCGCCTTAACTGCCTTAACCTTAGTTATTTATTTTAATAAAGCCACAAGCGGCAGTACAAACTTCGGCCATTTTCCGGCGGCGTTGGCGGTGGCGGCAGAGCAACTGCAGCTGCCTCATTATTAATCATTATTGCCTGTGGCCCGGCAATTTGTCGTAATGATTACGGCAATCCACAGGACCAGCCCATCCCGGTTCTCCGGAAGAAAAGTTGCCTCTTAACTGCCCTTTTTGGCCTTTGGCCGGCCAAGTGATGCATTCGCTTCGAATGGATAACGATTTGGGAAATGATTCAGAGTCACAGAGAAAAAATATAATGGTATTTTAAAGGTTTTAGTTAAAAAAAAAATTGGGGATGGTTTAAAAAGTACCTAAGTTATATTTATGAAACTGTGTTATGACATGTATTCATTTAAGAGTTTGTTTAAAAATGTAAAAAAATAAATAGGAACATTACAAAGAATATTTTTAAATAAAGTGTTAACTCTTAAGGCATTTTGAAGAAAACTAAAAAATATTCTAGAAAACACATGATGTTAAAAGGGATCTACTTTCCTTAAAAATGTCTACTTCAACTATTCAGTGGACTGTGTTCTTATAATATTTAATTAAAGAAGATATAAAATTAAGGTATAAATATTATAATAAATGCATAAATATATAATTTGTTTATTATAAACACATTTTTTTAATAAAAGCAGTTAAGAAGTGTTCGAAAAAATAAACGAAAGTGTCAAAAACCATATGAAACTATGGGTTATGGATTAGATATTTTTTCTCTGTGCATCAATCCTGCGGCAGAGATTTGTAACTTTGACAATTTGCCTACTGATAGCTTGGGCAATTGTTCTACAAGTTCGATGCTCGATTCCTGCAAATTGACTTGTGTAGGCTTAAGGGATTACAACGGGGTCGGAACATGTATCGAGTGAAAAATTGGAAACAGTTTCTCTGTGGGGCCATCCTTTTCACATACAGACACATATGGGCTATGCGGCGTATGCGCGATGTGCCATAAATTATGTGGCAACTATTTTTGTTCGACTGGCCAGGGCAAAATGTGCCAATAAATAACTCGATATGCCTGTCAAAAATTGGGCACAAAGCAGGATGGCTGGATGTTCGGGACAGGACCGAACTTCAACCGGAAACGGATATACAATTTCAGTAATTTTCGTGAGTGACCAAGTCGAACTCTCAACCGGATGGCGTTGCCCGAAAGAGGAAATTGCAAAGTAAGAAAAAGTGGGAAAGAGAAAAACCAGGGCAACCTCTGCCATTCAAAAGCCTAGGCAGTTGATCAGCATGGCCAAGTTTTCCTTACGCTTTGTTTTGTATTTGTTTTTATTGGCGTGAAAAATGTAATAATGCCCTCAGTTTGGGTGTGAGTGTTGGATTTTGGGCATGCCAACAGAATTTTGTGCTCTACTTTATGGGTATCATGTGTGGCGTATGCTTTTCTTGCTTTTCTTTCCAGCATTTCTTTTGAGGCCCGAGGTTGTTTGCCACCAGAACCACTGAGTTTGGGCCAGACTTGATGAAGTTATGTACGGCTCACACGAGACTTCGCTCACTATTTTATGGTTCTTTTACCATCATGTTTTCTGAAAAGACACGGCAGCTTATCAAAGAGAATGTTTTGTCAGAACGCGTTGCATACTTTTGGGGAGGGACTTTTACTTTTCACTTTAAGAATATCAGATGCAGGCTCATTATGTTAAAGTTTTAAAGAAACATTAAGATTCTTTACATTTAAACGAACTGAAACTACAATTAAGAATAATTATATTATAATACAAACCATGTTCTAGTTTCTTTTCAGCTTATATACTGGATTTGCTGGATTTAAATACACTTTTCTTAAGGTTTTAATTTCATGTTAAAATGGTATTCTAATGGAAATATTTTTATATTTTTATATTTATTATATGATATACCCCTAAAAAGTAGTTAAAAATATCGTTTCGTTAGAAAAACCTTTAATTTACAAAACGTAATTTACATAAATAATCATAAACTGAAATATGAAACTAAAACTGAGTGATCTTTTGTCAAAATACAAGATTTTTACAGGGCATAAAACTGTTGGGTAAGTCTTTTTCACCAGTAGTTTTTTTTTTGGCAGGGCTACTGTTCCGTGTATCCCTTTTTTTCGATTTGCTTGAGTGTGTGTTTCTGGCCGTGTCAAAATGCGCCTAAGGTCATGGTCAAGTGTCCGAACAGGAGTTGGAGGGGCAAGTTCGTTTATTTGAAAGCACTCGCCAGTCGCCCTTTGCCCACAACACTGTCCATTTAGTTTCGCCTTAGTTGCGGCTGCTGCCATCAATCTCATCGAAATGGTAAAGTAGTGCCATATTGCCGTTGGCACAACATTTGCCTTGAAAAAGTTTTATTTTTTTTCCCCAATGCTGGGCGTTTTTGGCAATGGTTTCGTTTCGATTTCGTTTTGATATTTTGATTTTATTTCTTTTCCCGTTTTTCAATTATTTTCCATCTCTTGAAAAAAGTCACTAGACAATTTTGTTGTTGATACGCTTGTGTCTCCAGTTTATTATTTTTATTTTTACCAAAAAAGTTTCGTAACCATTTGCATTTTCAAATGGTGTAAGGGGGTGGGAGTCAATACATCGAGTGGGTTCTAAAATCGAGTTTATTGTAGTTGAGTGGAGCTGTGTTGTACTGCTGAGTGCAATTTTTGATTTGGCAAGTATGTTTTTTGGTTGCTTTTCCGTCTATCTGTTGAGGGACTTCCGCTGATTGAATTGCCATGTTCTAGTCCTGACGCTGCAGGAGATGAATATTGATAAAAGTGTGTCTAAACGAAACCCATGTCCTCTAACCGTGATCCCTGTGATGCGTGGGGAATTTGTATATATATTTTTGTTTACCCCCTCTTAGCTTTGTTAATTTGTTTGGCAGGCTCTCACTCGTTTTGGCCTCTATTGTTGTTCTCTGGGCCACTTAAACGTGTTCCTGGCCCACACAAATACATACGTGCGGTTCGTTGTCCTGGCAGCCTAACATGTGGTTCTTTATTGTTTTTTCTGCTTTATTCTTTTACTGCCTGAACAATTATTTTTTGGTATTTTTATATACATATTTTCCGTGAAGAGTCCTTGCGTATATATGCCCATCTGAGCATGTTAATTGAAGCATTTTTAATGGTGATTAGAGGGGGCCATAAAAAAATCAACCAGATTCCCATTTAGATACGGCTAATAAAATGCAATAAACATTAATTTACCGTGGAGAGGAATTGAACTTGATAATATTTCTGTTGATTTTGAAGTAGGTTTCGAGGGGTGATGGAAAATATGAAAGCGGTACTCGAACATCTTTCATTGACAACAAGTGTCTTGACATGTATTTCTGAAGAGGCGATACATATATCCAGATGAATAGGGAGAAGAGGTTGCAAGGCAGCTGAGGCAAGTGTTGCCAATATATATACTATAGATATACATTCGACAAGCATATGAAACACTTGACAACGGGGCAAACAAACATGACAGACATTTTGTGGGAATGGTAAGGAGCCATTCTATATATGAGGATGAGGATGCGGATTAAATGGGTGGAGAGATGACGAACGGCCATGGTAACATTAGAAATTGACTCTCAATTTATTGAATTGAATTGTTCATCATTGCTTGGAGTATGTGACTGGGAAATTGGCTTACTCAGGCTAAACAATTGAGCTGGCTCTAAATCCTGAATGCACAAATATCAGTTTGTTTAAGCTCATCTAACTCAGCTTTAATAAAATATGAATTTAAAACCTAAGACAGAAAATTCATTAAAAAATGCAAAGAGGGTAAATTAAATTAGGCTTAAGGTTTTTTTTGATTAAATAACATACACATAGGCCTACTACGTTTGTCATCTTTAGGTTTTAAACACTATTAAAAATTAAAACAAAAAATTATCCGGGCTCAACCGGGATTTGAACCCGGGACCTCTCGCACCCAAAGCGAGAATCATACCCCTAGACCATTGAGCCGCCATAAAACGACTAAAATATCTTATAGATACAAGCTTGCAGGGAGGCATCTTCAGGTTTGGTAAAAAGATTCGTAGACGATATGCATAATTAGGCAGCTCTTTAATGACCTTCCAAGCAT